GTCTCGGGGGCCGGGGCTGGGGCCGGGGGTCGGGCCCGCCCCATCCATCGGGTGCCTCCGCGCCGCCTCATGGCCCCCCGGAGCTGCCCAGTGCCCGGAGCGGGGCAGCGGAGGGGCCGGGGGAGCCGGTCCCAGCCCCACAGCCGGGGGGACGGGCGAGCCCTGCGCTCCCACCTCTCGTTCCTGGCTCTGGGGCAGTGGGTCCGCTTGGCCGGCGGGGCTCCATCCCTCTGCTCCAGCCCCCCATTCCCCGCCCGCTCCCACCCCTCGCTCCGCAATAAATATTTATACTGTGCTGTACAAAATACCAGTGCTTCTCCGCCCCGCCGGGAGGGCTCGCTGCCCGCCCCGTCGGTCACTTGGGGGATTCCCTGCCAGGTGACAGCTCCCGCTGGCTCTCCAGCCCGCTCACCAGTCTCTGGATGTTTTGCAGTTCGTTGAGGGACTCCTTCAGGGAGCCCTTGGGGGAGGCGGCGGGGCGCTGGCTGCCCCCCTTGTGCAGGGGCACCTCGGGGAGGGGGCTGGATTCCCGGCTGCTGCCGGCCTTGGAGCCCTCGGAGCCGGGGTTGAGGCTGGCGGGCAGGCCAGTGGTCAGCAGGTTGGTGCTGGGAGGAATTGTAGGTGTAGGGGTAGGGGAAGAGTCCGCCGAAGGTGGGCATCGGGATTCCCTGTGGAGAGAGAGAAAGAGAGGGGTGAGAGCCATGCAGTGCTCCGCTCCATCCCCCCTCCTGCCTGCCCCCGAGCTGTGTTCCCCCAAGAAAGCTGAGGCAAAGCCGGACAGCCTGGTGTAATCCTAAAAACACAGTGCAGAGATACCCCTGTGGGATGGGCTGAGGGAGGGGGTACAGCTGGGGAGCCCCATCTGCCCCACACCAACCCGGGCTGGTGCCACCAGGCACAAACCCCTCTCCAGGACCTGCTCCGTCCCTGTCCCTGCACCTCCCCGCACACCGCGTGTCCCTGTCTGTGCAGCATCACAGACCTTTAACCACATTAAAATGCACTGTTACGTAGGATCGATGAATTGGGGGAGCTCAAAGACATCTTTATGCATTTCATCACAGGGGCTGGCAAAGGCAACACAAGTGCAGGCATTGGGGGAGTCGTTTCGGGGATGGCAGGGAAACGGGGGGCTGCTGGATGGGACAGCCAGGTCACGCAGGGCCACGGCTCCTGACTCTGCCCTTACCTATGGGGGAACCGTATCAGCTGCAAAAAAATCAAGATTCCTCCTCAAATCAACCCTGGAGCCAACCTTCAAAATGTCCCCCATGTTCTGCCCGTGCTGCACCAGGCAGCACGTCGGGGCTCCAGGGGAGCGTCACCCCCTTGTCCCCATGGGCTGCAGCGGGCACGGGGGAGGCTGGGGGCACCAACAGCTCCTGACCTGCACTGGGGCCACCCCACGTGTCCCCACACTGGGGGGGAGGCCAGCTGGGCCTGACCTGGGCCCCCGGAGCACTCTGCGCATTCAGAGAGCTTTGGGGAAGGACACGGAGAGGAGGCCCCAGGGCCCGGCCAGACAGTGAGGATGGGGACGGGGACGCGGGGTGGGTGCGGGGGCTTACCTGAGAGGCCAGCATGTGCTGGGAGAGGTGGAAAGGGAAGGGGGTGGCCGTCCCTGCCGTGCCCGGGGCGGACGAGAGGGCTCCGTTCTCCAGGCTGCCCCCACCGGTCACCGAGGCCAGCAAATGTCCCATGCCCATGGCGGAGAAGGCGCCGGGAGCCATGGCGAACTGTCCCGGGTGGATGAAGAGGGGCTGCCCGGCGCCCAAGGGGCTGAAGAACTGCTGCCCGTGGAGGCCGGAGAGCGCCAGGCTCTGCAGGTGCCCGGCGCTCAGGTGCGGGGGGCTGTCCGTGTGCACCATCAGCGGGGCGAAGGCCTCCTTGCCCAGCCCACCGCCCTCCGCGTCCTTCTTGCCAGGGTCCGGCTCTTTCCTCCGTCCTTCCACCTTATCCTTCTCCAGGCCCCGTGTGCCAAACAGGCCCTCGCCGGGACCCTCCCGGGAGGACGCGCCATCCTTGACCTTCTCCGGGCTGCGCCTCTCCTTGCTCCTCTCCTCCGGGCACCGGGGGCTGCTGCGCGGCGTCACATCCTCCCTGCCGGGGCTGGCCGCTGCCACCGGCTGCTCCTCGGGCACCTTCTCCACCTCTGCATCGCTGTCGGCCCCCGGCTTCTCCTCTGCAAGGGGATGGAGGGACAGAGGGTCAGGGCAGAAGCACCCCGGGGAGGTGAGGAGCAGGTCACTCGTGACAGCCCTGGTGTTGGGGAGAGCTTGCGATGCCAAAGTCCCGACCATTATTAATGGGAGAACCTCATTTTGGGGGCAGAAACGGACCCTTGTGCCGCAGTCGCTCTGGGGAAAGGGGATTAACAACAGCAGTCCTGTTGCTCTGCCAAACAGGAAAAATATGTTTGATGGAGGACCAAAATCTATTACAGCATCGCTCTCGTTAGCTGCAAACTCAAAGCGGGCTGCGGAGCGGGGGATGAAGAGAGCGCGGGCGGGTGGACAGCGCTGGAGGAAATGGTCCTGTATATATTTAATTACATGGAGCTGATCAACAGCGCCGTGGATTTATTCCAAATGTGCAGGTTGAGGCAGGTTAAAGAGACAGCTTTAAGGCAAGAGGTATGGTACAGACTTTCCTAAAAGGGGCTTTAATTTAAAAAACCCCATCAAGCTCTCAGAAGAGAAAGCGGGATGAGAGGCAAGGGGATGGCGAGGGTGAGGGGAGCAGAGTCCCTGCCCGACCGGCTCCCGCTAAACGAAAAAAACATTTTGGTGCCGGTTAGGTGAAGCTCTGCAGGCTGGGGCGAATATTCGGGGAAGCCTTTGAAAGAGGAGAGGGGTGTAATAAACCCTCCCACCAGCTCGGGGCGGGGGGGCTGCAGATTTGATGAAGGTTTGCAGGGAATCAGGCTGGTCGAAAGTTTAAAGAGCAGATTGATAGTGCGGCAAGACAAAACCCAGCATCTAAAAACTGCAACGTGGGAACTGCTAGTTTATTTTCATTTACTAGCTTGAAGCTCTGGAGTTACAACATTTTTTCCCCTTTCAAATGTATTAATTCTTTTTTTTTTTTTTTCCTTCCAGGGGAGTGTGAGCTAGCCATGAAAGGCAGGGCACACACCAGCGAGGAGCTGGGCAAACGCCTCTAGCACACGGGCTGCCTTGCCATTTCTTCTTGTTTAGACTAACATATAAACAGGAAAACGTTGCAAACCCTGAATGCCATTCGCGTTTGCTCTGTTCTTGTCCTTTCAACCCTTGGGGCTCCTTCGTGCCCATCCCCATCCTTTTTTTTCCCCTGCTGCTTTGCCTCTCTGCCCCGAAGAATCCGGCCCCGAGGGAGCAGAAACCCGACGTTGGGGGCAATTTGGGAACCGCGGCTGCTCCTTTACCTCTGCCGCTGCCCTTGAGGCGCAGGGGGCTGGGGAGGGCGCCCACGGGGGAGTGGAGGGCGTCGCGCACGGCCGAGGGCTCGCAGGAGGAGGCGTCCGACTCCCCGCCGTCGCGGTCGGGCTTGCAGGGCCCCTCGTACATCCGCAGGGACGGCAGCGAGAGCTGCTTCCTACCGGGCGAGAGGCAGCGTCGGGCAGCGCCC